ACCCTCAGGTTTCCTGTTCTCCAGCTTCTCTATTAGATCCAGCGATAATGAAAAGAAAGCACCTGGCAGATCACCAAAAGAAATCATAAATTTTCCAAATGAGCCACTGAAGAATATATTTATATATATATTTTTTTTTGATTGTTTGCTTTGTCGCACTCCTGAGCTCCAACAGACAATACAGCTTCATACTAATCCAAACATACGCTCACATAAACACTGATTGAAAGCTAATCTATCTCACTTGACTACTGTAAAGTGGATACTGGGCTGCCCACATGAAGAAATAGTTCTCAGAAAAATGAAAATACTCACCCCCATGTTGTTCCAAACCTGTATAACTTTCTTTCTTTTGTGGAACACGAAGATATTTTGAAAAATGTCTTGTTCTCTGTTCATACAATGCAAGTCAAATGAGTTCAATCAGTGGTGTTTTTGAACCCATTGACTTTCCATGCATGGACAAAAACAGCTGATACACTCTTCAAAGTAGTGCTGCACAATTAATCCATTTAATACATTAATTAAAGGTGCACTTTTTACAATAGATCGCTTAAAAGCAAGCAGCTTTACACATTTAAACCAGTGCCAATGTCTAATTTCTTCAGGATTACAGCCGTTTTCTACTATAAAGTGGCTTTCCAGTGTGTTCATGTTTTCACTCACAGACGTCTGACATCAACGGACTGAACAGAAGAAATTTACCAGAGAAGATATCCCATGTCAGATATCCCATGCCTCAGAGCACAATTTTTCTAGTACGAGAACATACATACATAATATACATGCATACATAATATGAGGTAGAACATTCAATTCAGAACATTTATAATATACATACATACATAATAATGTACATACATACATAATATGAGGTAGAACGTTCAAACATTTTTCCTTAAAATACATTTCTTCAGCACAGTTTGCAGTGCAGGCTGCAATATTCAAATTACATGTTTTGTCTCGAAATGCATATTTGACAGTAAGTTGACAGTAAATCTGCATCCTAACTCAAGCTAATACTAAGCTAATGTTACATTTATGTTCATTAACAAAAACAGTAACATCATTTTTTTTTTTTTATGTAACGACCAGCGACCACATTTTTATTTGGTAAATTGTAATATTTATGACTGTTTGAATTTTATTCAAATGAACCATTGGTCATCCAGTATCATGCATTTAGATCATGATAACCACAGATAAAACCAGGCATAGCCTATAACTTAGCAATTACTATTATGGCAAAATGTAACTCTTTATGGTTTCTGGTATTTGTATGAAAAACAGTAGCCTAACAGTTAAATACTTTATTAAATAATGTACTTATGTTCCATTAGTCATTTAATACATTGTCTACATTAATAATATTATACAATTCAATATGTATATCACACATTTCATGCTGCAGTTAAAATTACTACAATTAAGACACTACAATTAAAATAAAAATTAAGACATTATGCTGCCGGATATGCATAATGTATTATACATCATGCATATCCAGGTCGGTTAGATGTCTTTGTCCCTATTGCGTTCATATTTCACCAGAGTCCGTTTGGTAGCCAACCGAGACCAACCTTTTCAGGGGTCTCAGTCTGCTTGACTGGGGCGCATCAGTGCCCGGATGGCAGCATTGCTAATTTAAATGAACCCGAACTGAAACAAGAGTTTCTGTTTTTGTCAAAGCAATCCTGCCAAGTGTGAGTTCACGCACCCTTAGAGTGGCTCAGTTCACTTTAAATGGTGCTCCACATGAACTTCGCTAACAGCAACCATCTTCCCAAAATTGTAATGAGAATCGTCAACAAAAAAGAAGGTTTAAGGGCCCCCTGCGATTTGAAAATTAATAAATTATAACAGCCATATTTATGCTGTATGCGACAAATCGCAATTCCCCCCCCCCTCTCCGTGCATTGTGCAGCCCTACTTCTAAATGTCTTATTTTGTGTTCCACAGAACAGAGAATATAAAATTTCTTCATATCTTTCCCTGCCTGCATGTAAAAGGGTTTGCTACACACTTCGTCATAAATTACAAAGGATTCAGACCAGAAAAACACAAACCTAAACCTCAGCCAACATTTAATCCTCGTTATATCATCATCTTCCAGAAAGAAAAGGACTAAATCGCTTGATGTTCTTGGTAAATGTTCTCTTTGCAAGCACATGCCAAGTCTCAAACCATACAATCCTTTCCTTCTGGCTCAGCATAGCTATTGCCAAGTCAAGCCATCATGAGTATCGAAGCTTGGTAGCTCAGTTTTTGTGTTCTTTTTACCTGTGGCTTTATAAATAAATCTGACAAAATGTTTACAACTTTGACAAGACATATACAGAGCAAGCTTATGTTGTATAACAGTTGTTGTATGTTTGGCTGCAGGTTTGGATGGTGTGTTTGTGGTTTGGACTTTGAGCTTGTGTTTAGTTGCGAGTGTGTAGGCAGGGAGGAAATGCTGACTGGCCGCAGTAAAGTGCTGACATCAAAAGAGACAGTGCCTGAAATAAGACATGGATCCATAGAGACCAGTACGTATTCAGGGAAGAGAAAAAAACACGCATTGATTTATACGTTCAAAGAGATTGTTTTACTTAAAGAAAACAAGGGCTACTACTTTCCACTCTATCTTTCTTATTCGATCTACTTCTGTCTTTCTCTCTCTCACACACACACACACACAAGATCATGCAGTCATTCTGAACTTTCACACACTTTCCAGGGCTGTATTCTCAATTCAGACACACACAATGAGTGTGTCATTGTTTATGATGCAATACGTTTTTTTGGGTAATCTTTCTATGAATGATCAGAGATTTTCTGGATGAGGAAATTCTGATTAGCACCACAGTTTTGTTTTTGACTTAAAAAGAGTGTACTTTGTGTCAAGTTTTTGCATTTTAACTGTAATTTTTAGAGGTCGACCGATATGGTTTTTTTCATGGCCGGATTTCATGGATATGGCCGATCTTTTGAAATCCGGGTCGGCCAATGGCCGATTAATGCTACCGTTTTATTTTGGCTGATATTTGGCCGATATTTGCTTGGTTTTTTAACCTCTATTTGAAAGATAAAATGTTAAAGAAATGATAATTACTTAACATAGACAAACTTTCTCAACAAAAACTTGTTATCCTCTCAAAAAATGTCCTGAAACATGTATTTTTGGTTTGTTTTGTTTGTTGACGGACATAGACAAATGGACAACCTAATTATCACGAAAAAGGAAAAAAAAAACTTTAAATGATTTAATTTTTTTATATATAAGATTTATTATATTTTATTTAATTTAACTTCTAACAATAACATATTTCTGCTGCTCACTCGGCTGAAAAATGAATCTAGCAGCAGCGTGCGTCAAACACCTATGATGCACCTGCCTAATAATCGGCTTGATATACTTGGATATAGGCCGATGTCGATTATGTTGAAAAATGCCAAAAATCTGCCGAATAATCGGCCGACCGATTAATCGGTCCACCTCTAGTAATTTTTAAAGGTGGCACAAGAGTGAGAATAGCCTATGAATGTTTCCAGTTACAGGTCAGGAGGGCATGATTAAATGTGTTAATTTTTGTGTAAAAGTAATTTACTGTATTAAATGAACATGTTAAACAGTAATTGAGATATTTGAATTAAAATATTGTTTTAAGGTGTTGTGTTTTAGACGGACAGGACTGCCTTTCTCATTATAATGTATGACAATGAACCTCCATATCCAGGCTGTCTGTGCTCGACAGCCATATTAAAACATGTCAGGCTCTGACTTGTGTTCCTTTGAGAAATGACTTTCTTACTAGAGGTGCTGCTTCCCCATTAATTTTGAAAGTATTTACCATAATGTTATTTGAAGTTAGATAGTCACCCAAAGCTTTAACAGGAAGCTTGTTTCCACCAAAAAGGTAATTTTGACTTTTTATCTCATCATTCAGAATTTTTCCCCGCAGTTAATAATTTGGAATTTATAACTCGCAAATGGGTGACAAAAAGCCAGAATTGTGAGTTATATATTGCAAGAAAAAGTCAGAAATGCAAGTTTATACATCACAATTGAGAGAAATAAAGTCAAAATTGCTAGATAAAAATGGACTGATTTAAAGAGATAAAAAGTTGCAATTACCTTTTTTCTTAGTTATTCTGCGGTGGAAACATAGAATGGAGCTCTGTTCGGGAGGAGCATGTCAATAACATTATAGTTTCTTATCTAATTTCTGTGGGAATTTTTCTGTCACTCTCCCACAACCCCATCTCCACCTTATTTCTATTCATTTCTGTCATCCTGGGTGGGCTGCAAACCAAAATCATTTAACCTTCATCTCCCTCAAGAATGACCAAATTAATAAGTGAAACAGATTGCTCTCTTTTGATCTGCCCAAGTTCAAAATCAACTCGATGTAACGCAACAAACTGTAACAGAATGTAAGAGGAAGCAAACAAACAGTATTTTGACATTCTAAATCCATTTTTGAATTTTTCTGCAACAAAAAAATGTCAACGTCCTTGAATTCCCTTTGTGTGGGGGCTTTTCTCAGCAAGTTAAATTTAAATATGCAAAATGCAATTAATTGTGATTAATTTTATTAATTAATCTGCATTTTGCATAAAATGTAATTAATTTGGTTAAAGTGTTTACTCGATTGACAGCCCTTGTGTTTTAAATTATAAAACCGTGTGTGTGTGCGTTTTTTAGCTGTACGGGTGTGTTAAACAAACACACATTTGTATATTGTCTTTGAGCTGGGGAACTAAATGATAGAAGCGTTAAAAGACGTGTACCCCGAAGGGATTGTAGAGGACGGATTATATTGTCAGTGCCATGCACATTACGCATCACATCTTGAATAACTTGACATTAAGGAAACAACATAATAACCTTGGATTACAGCCACTCTCTAACCTGACAGTAAGTTTTATAGACTGTGCTAAGTGAGAACATGCAGACAAGAGACAATTATTTTAACACGTGTTAATTTAGCACATTCTTTTTTGATCCTTTGTTGTAGATCCTGAAGATTATCAGCCACCAATATGGAAATCCTACTGTAAGTATTCTTTTAATATTATACATGTACAGACATCATTTTAAAGTCTCAATTGGATCCAGTTGACAGACTTGCCTTCACTAACAACCAGAATAAAACACAATGGACTGAAGAAATACAGTAATCTGGGCTTCAAACATGAGAACATTGCATCATGGGAAATGTGGTTTGGCATTGGGCAAAGGGAACAGGAATCAGGGCCAGAAATGAAAAAAGTTCCTTTCCATTATAAAGCAAATTGGAATTTATTACTATAGGAGCTTTTTCACCGTTGTAAGAGCAATTTTTTATACTTGCCTTCTCGTTTTATATCATATACTTGACCAACATTTAACCAATTTATTTATATTTAGTCAATTACTTGATTCAATCAAATGCTATAGACTTTTTACGTGTAAAATTGTTGCACGCCATATTCTGGCTACAAAAACAAAACAAGCTGAGAACGTTTATGATTTAGTTTACTGCCTTTTATGTATTAGAATCTCAAAACTTGACATTGTTTTTTTTTTGCAGCATGAAAAACTAAATTTTAATTCGAACTGAGAATTAATACAGAAAGTGAGCAAAGAACATTCCCAATCCCTGGTCCATGACTTTCACAAAAACTCATGCTACAATCACTCAAGCTGTCTACACTGCAAAATGAATCTCTTGCATCATATCTGAACTTTGTTGTTCGTTCAGTTTGAGTGGTTGCTAATCTAAATCTAAATCTAAATCGCGACAGCCATAATCGATTTAGTTTAATTGTGCAGAGTTACCCCTTTCCCCCTTATCTTGAATGTGGTGGCATTTTAATATGTTCATCCTGTAAATTTCCGACCCCGACACAGGAGTGATTCACTTGTCAAGGTTTTCCTGGCCAGTGAGCATTATCTCTGATTTTTCGAGCCCGTCCCACATTTCAACTCATTTTCCCTCGCATTCACTCCCACTGTGCAGTATTTTTAGAGCAGGCCCCGTCCTTGTCATTCTGGTGGACGTTGTCCAGAACCCACTGCTCGTTCTGAGCTTCTTTGACAAGATCTTGGCATCGCTGTCAGATGCCTTCCTGCTCTCTGGGAGGAAAAATCTAAGTGCTGAGTCCAGATTCTGCCTGTGCTCGAACAGCGCCGGCCAATCGCTGCTCTGCACGATGAGCAGCTTTTAATGAAGTCATCAAGAGAAGGTCACGTTCATGTCGAGTTGAAGTACCCCTGCACATCTGCTGCTGTTTTTGAGCCAGTATTGATCATTTCACTACCGCTGATTTCTTCACAATGATCTAAATCACATTATTAAACTTTTTTTACTCGCAGTAAAGAACTAAATGGTTCAGATTGATAATATACTGCCAAAAGTCCAACAGTCCACTATTCATTATGCTTTCGTGTTATATTTTTTTTTTGAACTACAAATTTAATTATCAGTTATTCAATTTGAATTATAAAGAGAAAATATTTAATTGAAAATGTAATATGAATATAATATTTTTATACTTATACGTTTTAAGTGACTCAACCCATGCACATGACATTTTACAACTTGAACTAATCTTGCCTTGGCATTTAAAAGGTCAATTTATCTGATATTCCCAAGAGGGTGAACCAACATGTTCCTGGATCAACATCTTTGTTGATCCTGGAATAACATTCCAAACAACCAATCAGATTTGAGAGACAGGTTTACAGTTTATGTCAAATTTAGGCTTACAACCAGCATTTTGTCCTCTTTTACCTATCTTTTCTCTCTGATTTTAGGGATAACTAATGGGAAGGATTAGGTTTTGGGGTAGGGATATGGGATATGTTTAGGAGTCCAAATTTTCAGGCAGGAATGTTGTTCCAGGATCAACAAAATATCCAAGACTTACTTGGCAAAATCACAGTGATCTTGTTGCACTACAATACTTTGTTTTGGCAGACAAAAGTTTTTCAAATAATAAGCAGTAATTCAGTTTTGTTTTTTCTCTAATAAATAATAATAATAAAAGATTATGCCAAACTACCCAATGTTTTCTTTACAAGAATTTATTCTTTTGAGTTTTTTAAAACTCCCTTAATTATGATATCTGTACAATTGCATTAGTTGTATTTTTTACGTAGCCCTCAAACCGTATTCACTTTATAGCCCTTAATCGTGTAATTGTGGACAAATGTGAGCACAGAGGACTCGATTGTGTTCCTAATTTTTATTCATTATAAATGTTATATATCACTGTCTTCGATAAAGTTTTGTCTATCCATTTATGGTGTTTTTTTTATTTTGGGGGTATTTTTGAACTATTTACTTCAAAAAGTGCCCTATTTTCTATATTTTTTTTAACTGCATTAAAATATCATTCCAATAAGTTCTTAGAGCTAAAACCTAAAGATGAAGTGACTTTGCTGTCACCTGGTGTCTTATTTTGGCTTATTTTAGAACGCTCTAAATTACAGTTTTTCCCCATTCATTTCTATGGGTGCCCATTTTTGACCCAAATACAAGATAAAGGAGTTTTTCACCCACTTAACATTGTAGAATTGAGTCAAAAAATTGTGTGTGTTCAGGAGGCAAACTTAGGAAAAGTAGCCAAGTCTTGTTCCGCTCAGATCAAGGGAAGTATTTTTTTTTTTTTTAAATCAAAACTATTTTGCCGCCATTTGTCCAGAATACAGTTTTAGGGTTAATCCGCCACAATAATATCAAAATATTTTAATTCAGAACATTAAAATATGTTCATCATAAAAGAGATGCATTCAATAATTCGTAGGAAAGTTTGACAAGTTCCATAAACAGTATTTCTAATTCAATTTACTAAAATGTTTCTGTTTTACAGTGTTCAAAATCCTAAAACTTTAATGATGCTTTCCCGGTTTAAATAAAAAGAATTTCAATGTAGTCTCAGACTTTAGAAACCCACTGCAAATGCAGAGAGATTTGGAGGGGCACTTTAGCATCTTGTCAAGGTCTGTTTATTTGAATAGGAGATACAGGTGTATTTTCCCTTGTGAAAAGTTTTAACTAGAAATGTGATGGCTTGGAATTCAATACCTATTATTATAATTGAGAATGAACTCCCCATCAAAGGAATATTGTGCGAACTGACCACAAATTGACCTTGCCTGTGCAAGCTGATTATTTAGGAGAGGATAACCTGAGGAATTCCTGGCTCTGTACTACATTTTTACACAAACAGGCACAAACAAAACATCTGTTCTTAAACCCATTTGAGCTGAACACTGGCCCTTCGTGTACTCCTTTCCCATATTGACCAACTGTTGGTGTTGATTTATCCGTTTGCCTCTTGCGCAGTCTTCATTTTTCAATAGCTTTACCAATATTACCCAATCCACTTTTATAATGCGTTGTAGCTTAGCCTGACAGCAGTGTAAGTGGGTGTGTGTCCTCAAGCTCAGACCTAATGGATTAATGTCTAAGAGAGAATGCTGTGTTTTGACACGCTCTAAATATACCAACATCTCACCACAGCGTTATAAGGATTAGAGGTAGAATAAACTGTAGAATTGAGCTGCTTCTCATGCCAAAAGACTCGCTATCAATATAACCTTTTCTTATTTTCAAAATATAGAAATAATAATTTTATAAAAATTGTAGATTTTTTTTTGTTTTGTTCATCAGTGTACCAATTACAACAAGAAGCGTCAAGACCAAAGAGGATCACATGTCCTCTGGAGGTAAGTACAGAAAAATGTGTGTAAACACTCCCAAGGTTTTTCAAACATGACTCATATTGATTCAGTCTGTGTATCTTTTACTAAACACTGGAGCTTATGTTTAGACTGTCTCCTTGTTCACAAAATGCTCATCTTGTTAGAAAGGCTAACCATTAGAAAAGCTTGTTTTACCACCTCTTGACCCGTTTGACAAAGTGATTTTGTGTTGAAAACTGTATTTCTTCTCTCTGGTTTGCAGATGGAAAGCAGACCCAAATACTATGGTAGAGAGTGAGTGTCTTACTTTATTGGTAGTGTTTTGAAAGCAAAGAATCAGTACTACTATTCCTCAAATTACTTCTTCTAGCCATCTAGTTACTTTTTACCCCCTTGCATGTAAAAATTTGCTGTGAGTTAGCAGAATTTATTATTGAAGACGAGTGGTGGTGCACATTGATTTTGTGTAGTGATGTGTGTGAGGGTGCTAATATGAATGTATGAGGAAGAGACTGTATGATTTATGTCGTGTCAAGCGTGTTTGTGCATGTGAATATGTATGTGTGTGTACACCAGGGTAAATCGTGGTGTCTCTGTACAGGTTCCATGGTCTGATTTCCAGAGAGCGTGCAGATGAACTGCTGGCGGGGACAGAAGGTGCTTATCTCATCAGAGAGAGCCAGAGACAACCAGGAACTTATACACTTGCTTTGAGGTACGTGCCATCTATTCTTTATCCTTTCTCTACATGTCCGTCCATCTGTCTATCCATCCAAATATATTATGTTATATTAAAGGGATAGTTCACTTTGAAATTCATTTTTAGTATGTTTTAGCTTACCTCAAGGGCATCCAAGATGTAGGTGTCTTTGTTTCCGCAGTAGTTTAAATTTTGATATTTTTGGGTCAAACCGTTCTTGTCGGTCAGTCATTTAATGCAGGTCTATGGTCACCACCTCATAGAGCATGCCAAAGAATTCCAAATTACACATTGATGGCCTAAGACACAAAATGAGCGGTTTGTGTGAGAAAACGAACAGTATTCATGTCGTTTTTACCTCTTGTAACCACAGCCACGTCCAAGTCATCTGAGGCCGCGGGCGCTTTGTGGCTGTGATTAAAAGAGGTAAAAACGATATAAATACTGTTCGTTTTCTCACACAAACTGCTCGTTTCGTGTCTTAGGCCATCAATGTATACGAATTAATTAAATCATGTTTAATTTGGACTTCTGTGTGCATGCTCTTTGAGGTGGTGACCATATACCTCCATTATTTGACTGACAGACAAGAACGGTTTGACCTAAAAATATCAAAATTGAAAATACTGTGGAAACAAAGACACGTACATCTTGGATGCCCTTGAGGTAAGCTAAAAACATACCAAAAAAAAAAAATTCAAAGTGAACTATCCCTTTAAATCATATTAAACAAAATATTTTGTTTTACAATGTACAGTATAATTATTATAATATACAGTAATATAATATGCAGTACTATTGTCTATCATTCAGATTTGGTGGCCAGACTCTGAATTACCGACTGTTTTATGATGGAAAGCACTTTGTGGGAGAAAAACGTTTCGAGTCGGTTCATGATCTGGTTACAGACGGTCTCATCACTCTCTATATTGAGACCAAGGCAGCAGAGTACATTGCCAAGATGACCACAAACCCCATCTACCAGCACCTGGGCTATACTTCTCTTCTGAGGGACAAAATCACTCACCGACTCAACCGAACCCGCTCTGAGCCCAAAAAAGTGACTTTCCAACAGAATGACAAGGTAAGGTGCATACCTCTTCAGATATAGATTATAATGCTATAAAGGTTATAGAGTATATCAGCAATGTAGGAAATATGAATTAAATATATAATATACTGCATAATCACAAGACATTATAATAAATCCTTGGTCATTGTGTGCCAAATAAAGGTCATGAAGAAATTTGTGACAATTTTTGTTGAAATCAATCATAAAAGGCACGGTTTTTTTTGTGGAATCCCACAGGGCTCTGTTTTAGGACTTCTGTTGTTTTCATTGTATATGTTAATTATAGGCTAATCAGTTGACTTGGGATAAATTTGACATGTTTTGCTTGTTATTTCAGCCCTCAACACTAACCTGCTGTAATGCTGTGAATTATTTTTCTTTATCTGAGCCGTCATTGGTATTTGAGATGACATTTACATGCAGAATTCAGTGAGAGAGTTACAGTAATCGTAAATATTGCGTGTAGTGATAACAGGACATTGACGCTGGCACTGCTTCATTATGCATTTGCCCATAGATGTCATCAAGGTTTTATTGATAACAGTTAACACAGTTCATTTAGTTTTTTAATTATTCACACATTTTCCTTTGACCAAATCATGGTGTCAGGCACTACCCTTTCACAAATCGTTGTTACTAGAATGGTCTTTTGATAAATGAGAAGGAGCATTTCTTTGTGTGCGTTTGCAAGATTAGAAGAGTTGGCGAGTGTTTCAGCATCAGGGTGTGGATCTTTGATGAACGATAATGCGATGAATGTGTTGTCTCCTCTCTCGTTCATCAGACACACTGTCTGGCTCACTGACAGGAGAGTTTTATCAATTCAGTCAGGTTTACTGCTACCTTTATGAATTATGTTGCCTCACTATTGAGGTGAAATAGCTCTTCATATGAGCTCTACGAAAGCGATGATCAAACCATTCTTCAATTAGTCAACGGAAGTGTTCAAACAATCATGTTACATAGAGAACATTTGTTTTTGTTTACTGACACCAGACAAAGAATTTTAGTTGGCTTAAGGATTTGAATTCATAACAATGAACTCAACACACTTCAACAAGTGGAGTCTTTTCATCTTACAGCTTTGTTCAGATGTCCACTAGAGGGCAGCCTCAACAAGCTGTCAAACTGAATATGGATTTGTATACAGTATACATCAGAAGATCTGCTTTCACTGTAAAAAATATTGTTGGTTTAACTTAAAAACGTAAGTAACCTGGTTGCCTTAAAATTTTAAGTTGATTGAACTGGAAAAAGTGAATTAATACAATGAAGGAGGTTGATTTAATCATCAGAAACTCAAAATAATAAGTTATCTCTACTAAATAAATAATTTAAGTTGATTTGACAAAAGAAAAAAATGTTGTGATTTGAAAAAGTGAGTTAATACAATGAAGGAGATTGATTTAATCATCAGAAACTCAAAATAATAAGTTATCTCTACTAAATAAATTATTTAAGTTGATTTGACAAAAGAAAAAATGTTGTGATGACAAATCTTGAAAATATTTTTTTACAGTGTTGTTGCAGCCCGGTATTCTCAGTATTTCAGTATTCTTAGACTTATAATGCTGGGATTCATGATAATAACTTTGCAGGTATAATTTTAATGTTGGTTGTGATTACTGCTGCTGTATTACAGTGTGACTACAATAAAGTGTCTTTATCAGTGTTATTTTAATATTATTTATATACTACTATAAGATTTATTCATATTTTTAATTAGCATTTATATTTCGTCAGTTTTTAATTTTTATATTTTTGTCTTCTTTTAAATGGCTAAAATTTATTTCTGTGTCAGTTCTAGTCATTTTAGAACTTCAACTTATTTTATTTCAGTTAGTTGCCGTTTTTTTTTTTTCAATACATTTATTTCAGCTTTATTTAAATATTATAGGAATGTGACCTTATTTAAATGTTTTAGTAGTTTTAGTTTTGGTTTAATTAGCAATAACAACTCTTAATGAGCTACCATTCGCGTTTTAACGATGTGATTGATATGGATCTATATTTAAAGCTTTTCATGATAATTGGCTCACCCAATTATCGATGGCTTAGCCAATTTGTTACAATGGATAAATGGTAACCATCATCAACCTAATGATCCATTTATTATAAAGGAATTTGTTCTCTTGAAATTTTACTGTGACCTCACACACCCTGAAATCCCTTTAACTTCACTGTCTTGATTTACTTGTGCCTGACCATTTACCGTTGTCATTTAGGGACCAGAATCAGGGTGTGTCGTTCTATGACGGCAGGTTTCTTGAGTGATGACCTTTATGAATTGTTTACCTTGCCTGTTTGGTTGTCTACGCAGCTCATGGTTCACATGGCTCTCTTCCTCTAATAACAGTAATCGCTGAAATATTTTGCTGGCCTGGCAAGTTCCACCTAAAACCACTCGCTGATGATGGATCGGAGTTATTAGAATTAGCGCTGAGCTTTTGTGGTGATTTATCATTGTTGTTTACATTATTTTTCAGCACTGCAGCTTTTAAAATGAAGGATTGGAAATATGTATTTTTTTTTTTACTTTCCTGCGGTTGTCTTACAAATGAGTCTGCTCTTAGTTACAATCACAGCGTATTGGATGGTTTCATTATTTGGCCGGTTTGACAAAATTATTTTTTTTTTGTCCTTTTTGAATCTATTATGTCATTTACAGCCACATGGTCTCCAAGATCAAGTATTGATGGAGATATTCCCTAATATTACAGCTGTGCTGACACTGTGATAGACAGTATTTTGAATGACTGAATAGTGTATTGAATGAATGTATTGCATAGGATGTGTTTTTCTACTGTACGTACTTTATGTGCCCTAGTTATCCCTAGAGTCTCCTCATCTGTGGGGTCTCTAAAAAGAGACCAGGCCTTATTGTCTCCCTTTTGTGTTTGGCTTTTGAGCCGCTTTCATTAGGAGACAAGAAGCCATTTGCCTTAGGACAAAAAGTGCAAGTCTTGCTCATTCACTCACACTTTCTGTGCGCCCCATCTCCCTCTTCCCCTGTATCACTGTATGTGACTCGCCAACATCCTTTATCTTTTCTTTTGAGTGTATATCTTAAACGCGTGACCCTCAGTAAGTCACTGTTTTTACTGGTATTGCAGTTTACTGGTATTGCAACTGGATGTTGGTTTTCAGTTTGGATTTTTGGGATCATCATCATTGGCTGTGCATAACTGTGCTGGCCTTGACAAGCCTCTTGTGTTAGGTTATGTTGTAAATGCTAATTTTTTTGTGTTTTTTTGAGTAATAAGTGTGAAATAATAGTTTATTTGTTGTAATTTAGCAATGTTGTATATCTTATTTTTTGGACTTTGTGAAAAAGAAGTGCACTTAATTGTTTTATACGCACTTGTTCAAATTTTAAAATGATAGTTTAATTAAACTGTACTTGGAGATCATATAATATTAAGGAAGTAAAAAAAAAAACTGTTCTCAACACACTTTTAATTTAATTGCAGTTAACATGCAGTTAAGTTTCTGAATACATTACATTCAGTTTGCAATTATATGTACTTTTAAAGTACCGGTATATAATTTCCATTATATAAGTACTATTTTTAAAAGTATTCTAAAGTGATTTTGTGCTTAACATTACCTATAGAGACTTTCTTGTTTTAAATTGTTGTGTGCACACCTCATTTAGCAACTTTTAAGCAAATAATTTAAAATTATTTAAAAAATATATATATTTTACTCAAACCAAAAGACTGCTATTGGGAAAAAAACATAGGAAATTCCAGAGGGAATCCGTTCTAGGACTACAAACTGAACAGCTCTATATTGATTATAAAATTGCCATTATATTGGCCATCAGCTGCCTTCAGTGCCTTGTGCCCTAGATATTGGAATCGGCCGTGAAAAACCCATACCGGTCGACCACTAGAGCACATGTTAACTGCCCTATACCCCCAGCACACAAAAATTTGTGTCACTGTGGAGGTCAGCAGCAATAAAAACCAAACCAGTGCTTTTTAAGCTGTGCTCATACTTTTACTCAGAACAACCCTGACAGGCTTGCAGCCATCTCCACCTCACTTTCTGGGAAATCAGGTACATCATGTCCCTGAATGCGACATATCTTGAATATGTGAGACGTGGTTGATTTTCTTCCTCTTCAGCATTCTTTCTTTTTTACTCATCAGATCTGCATTATTCGTTCCTAATCTCACCATTTTGTTAATTGATGTAATCATGCAAATGACCGGCTCAGGCGGCCACCCGTACTAAGCCCTAAGATGTGCTGTATCTGTGAGGTCAGTAAGTCTCATGTGTGTTCTCCAGGATGTTTCAGCAAATACCCAGACAATGTTGCTGGATTCGGCATCAGCCTCCTGCTGAGAAGGGTCACGGTCCCCCACCTTGAAAAATGAGTCTCGCTCAGTTGTGGTCCGAGTCTGACAGTGGAAATGCAGCTCATGAGTCCTTACTTGCACTTAGTACTCATTAACATCCGTCTTAGATGATCTGGTCACAAGGGTTGATGGTCCTGAGATTGGAAGTTTAATATCTTTTAACACCAAAAATTCACAGCACCTAAAAAAGTTTAGGTGTATAAACCCCAATAATCCAAATAGGCAAAAAGTAGCAGAAAAAACCCACAGACTATAAAGGTGAAAATGCCATAAAAGCAAACCCTGCACCAATTGTTTTTCTGTGACCCCCATATATGGTTTGAGTGATCCAGATCACAAAATATTTTTATTCCTGTCTTACACTACCCACTTTTTTATTAGATTACCCAAAATGAATGATAAGATTAGGTTTAAATGGGGTTTAAACAAGTCTGAATCCCTAAACAAAGGGTTCTGGCACTACAGGATTTCTTTCCGTGATGCAGGATTACGACTGTAAGCTGCCTAAATCCTGATCCGATTTGTAACTGAAGTTACGATCAGAAGTGAAGAGACTGAAGGCTAAACCCCATGAAAGTGTACATGCTAGACAGAGACTAGACCTGATAAAGACCTCTTTTTTTGAGAGAGAGAACCTACTCCTACTCTAAAAGTGAGAAGCTGAGCTCTTTGGCTTTAAGATGTAGGATTGTACGCACTCAAGGGAATTTCAGTGGAATCGTGTCTGGAAGTGCTGTGTTCCAGTCATGGTCGGCACCAAGGGGAACATTCACAGTCTCTCTCTCTCTCACACCATACCATACTAATACTGTGTTTGACCCCCTTTCGCCTTCAAAACTGCCTTAAAAAAAGGATAGCATCTTGTAGGATAGCATCTTGCAGTTGATGGACATTTGTGGGATGTACATCCAGGGCACGAAGCTCCCGTTCTACCACATCCCAAAGATGCTCTATTGGGTTGAGATCTGGTGACTGTGGGGGCCATTTTAGTCCAGTGAACTCATTGTCATGTTCAAGAAACCAATTTGAAATGATTCAAGCTTTGTGACATGGTGCATTATCCGGCTGGAAGTAACCATCAGAGGATGGGTACATGGTGGCCATAAAGGGATAGACATGGTCAGAAACAATGCACAGGTAGGCCGTGGCATTTAAACGATGCCCCATTGGCACTAAGGGGCCTAAAGTGTGCCAAGAAAACATCCCCACACCATTACACGCCAAATTCTGTTTACGCCAAATTCTGATTCTACCATTTGAATGTCTCAACCGAAATCGAGACTCATCAGACCATCAACACTTTTCCAGTCTTCAACTGTTCAATTTTGGCGAGCTCTTTCAAATTTTAGCCTCTTTTTCCTATTTGTAGTGGAGATGAGTGGTACCCGGTGGGGTCTTCTGCTGTTGTAGCCCATCCGCCTTATGGTTGTGCGTGTTGTGGCTTCACAAATGCTTTGCTGCATACCTCGGTTGTAACGAGTGGTTATTTCAGTCAAAGTTGCTCTTCTATGAGCTTGAATCAGTCGGGCCATTCTCCTCTGACCTCTAGCATCAACAAGGCATTTTTGCCCACAGGACTGCCACATACTGGATGTTTTTCCCTTTTCACGCCATTCTTTGTAAAACCTAGAAATGGTGTGTGAAATCCCAGTAACTGAGCAGATTGTGAAATACTCAGACCAGCCCGTCTGGCACCAACAACCATGCCACTCTCAAAATTGCTTAAATCTCCTTTCTTTCCCATTCTGACATTCAGTTTGGAGATTGTCTTGACCAGGACCACACCCTTAAATGCATTGAAGCAACTGCCATGTTGATTAGATAATTGCATTAATGAGAAAGTGTTAACAGATGTTCCTAATAATCCTTTAGGTGAGTGTACACACATGTATTATATAAACAAAATGTTTTATGTTAGATGCAATTTAACAGATGACATTACTAATATGTGTGTATGTATGTATGTGTGTGTATATATATATATATATATATATATATATTAGTGTCCGCCTGTCATGTGTGAGGCAGCATTGTAGTTAACAATAATAATCCTGCTGTGTTCTGGATTCCATTTATCCTACTGTGGAAACCTGTTGAGATGTATCTACAAGACTGACACATTCCCTCCTCCCAATGTCTCCCCTCTCTTGTGTTGCCACTGAATGTGTGCTATTGTTTGAGACACACTCCTGCCCCCAGGCAGCCCACCCACCCACCCCCAGCCCAGCCCTGCTCTGCTCTGCTCATGCAGGATCAGGCTGTCCCCCTTCTCATTCGACCCAGATAACCAAAGAGTGAAGACGACAGTTGCCTCTGTTATCCCCCATTCCACATCATTGTCATCTTCCTCTACAGAGGAGATGCAGGATCTTCTGAAGACCAGGGCCCTAGTTGTTGGCACTAAGGGGTCAGCAAAAGGTGAATTAGCCCCTCACAAAGCTAAGCAGAAGGACCGTAAGCACCAGGAGTTGTTGGCGCTAGCTCTGGGGGTGAATCTGGGCAGTAAAGGTGCCCTCCTCTGGAAGCCTCTAAAGATTTTGGCTTATTCACAGATCCCCCCGCCACCACTGAGTAGACGCACTACACTCAAGGATGGACCAGAGAAACACTGCAACTACGAGAAGATTCACAACTTTAAGGTAAGTACTGGTTGTGTGGCGACTACTGTACGTCATATCAGAATTATGGTCAAGAGCAGTAATAAAATAATAAAAAAATCAGCAAAGATTCATTAAATCAGAAGTGGCATAGAATACTGGAAAAAATATATACTAAGAAGAACAACTGTTTTCAACATTGATAATAATAATAAATGTTTCTTGAGCACCAATTCAGCATATTCTAATGATTTCTGAAGGGTCATGTGACTCAAGCCTGGAGTAATGGCTATTATTTAAATTGTAACAATTGTAACAATATTAATGTGGATGTTACTGATGTCATCTCACAATTGTGTTCATTTTTACATGTAGAACATTTGAATGTAAACACAAATGTTTCATGCAGAATTATCAGTTATTGTACTCAGCGGCCTGTATTAAAGGAATATTTCACTTAAAAATGAAAATTCTGTCATCATTTACTCACCCTCAAGTTGTTTCAAACCTGTTTCCGACAATACGTTTTCAGCAAAAGAATTTCATACCGGTTTGAAACCACTTGAGGATGAGTAAATGATGACAGAATTTTAATTTTTAAGTGAAATATTCCTTTAAATGTTGATATTGCACACACTGAATATATCCTGTGTGTGTGTATATATATATATATATATATGAAGAGTTCAGATGCAAAAGCCTCTAAATGCCATTTGAAATTTTCTTCTTTAATGATGATTTTTATCAAACTTGTATATTTAAGTTCAGTAATTTCACTTAAATAACAATTAAGAGGTAATTATCATTGGCATTTAAGTGAAATCACTGAACTTAAATATACAAGTTTGATAAAAAATTATCATTCTAGAAGAAAATTTCAAATGGCACTTAGAGGCTTTTGCATCTGAACTCTTCATATATATATATATATATATATATATATATATATATATGTGTGTGTGTGTGTGTGTGTGTGTGTGGTGTGTGTGTTTGCGATTTCTCAAATGTTCTGATTGGATGGTTAATTAATTTTGAAAAAAAAAAAAAACCAAAACTTGAAATGTTGATTTTGAGCCTGATGAAATCCTTCACTTTTATTTCACTCTTAATGTGCCGGTACTATGAGGTTGTTCGAATGTTTACTAATGTCTCATTCAAATGTTTATGTGCTGACAGCGTTTAAATGCACGGTACTTTGAGCCTCGTATCAATAAGCCTAAATCTATCCTATGAGCCTAATTGCCTAGGCTTTTAATCCATTAACAGCGTTATTGACTGATAAGATTGATCGCACAAATCAATAACCTCTCGCTGCTGAATGGAGTTTCCCATTTCATGCCTTTTCAGTTTCTGATAAATGACTGAAGCTGAGAATGAGCTCAGTGTATCATCTTCTGACTTTTTAAAACTTAAACAAAGCAAAACGAAGCAATCATCTGACTTCAACGTGTCACTTGGATGCTTCCTCATGATGTCACCTACAGTCATTAGAGCATCATGGTTATTCAGTGCCCACCTCCCCAGAAGTGTTCTCACACAGGCTGTGTTCCAAAACCTAGTGAGCTCACTCAGTGTGTAGAGCGTTTTGCGTAATTTATGTTGGCTACTGAGATTCATAAAAGACGACTCTCTGCCTACTTACCTAATGCGTAAACATTACAGGCATGCTAGCCAGAGGGGTTTTAAACTTTGTTGGCTGGAGAACCAATTTTGGTTTGAGGACGTAAAACCGTCCAAGCTCAATGTTCTCTCACCATTCCTGATTTCTAACACACACTCAAAGCGTTGAGCGTGGTCTTGCGGCTGTCAGAGCTGCTGCTCTCTGTATGATTTTCCATCTTCTTCGGTCCCATTCATATGTAAATTGCGCAAGCTCATTTTTGATTGGCCCGAACATGTTTTCCCTGATCAGAATTTCTCCTCTATGGATCGAGTCCAGACCGAACTTCCCGACCAAAAAATGTTCGGGCTGGCATCCAGGCTACCGAAACACATCTTAATGCCTAAAAATAATTCATAAAAACTTTGTTTATAAGTAATATAATAAAATGTAATTGTTACCAAAAAATTGGGCTAGCTTCATTACACAAAAATAAAATCAAACAAACTGGCAATTTTGCCCATATGTCATGTATTAGGGATGGGCAACGATTAATCGCATCCAAAATAAAAGTTTGTGTTTACATAATATATGTGTGTGTAGTGTGTATAATTAATTTGTATATATAAATACCCACACATGCATGTATATATATATATATATTCACAATTAATATTATATATAAATATAAATATTTGATATATTAATAACACATTTTTCTTAAATATATACATGCATGTGTGGGTATTTATATGTACAAATTAATTATACACACTACACACACATATATTATGTAAACACAAACTTTTATTTTGGATGCGATTAATCGTTGCCCATCCCTATCATGTATGCTATGAATATTGAGTGTTTCTGCCTTATTTAGGGTTCAAATTGGGTAGTATTTCAGTTAGGATGTAGACAGCTTGCTAGGTTTTGGAGAACAGCCAGTGGTTGTGGATACAGATGAAGGGTATTCTCATTATATTTATATTTCAGCATTCACAAACCTGGGCTTTGTTCCACAAACCCTGCGTGTTACGTGTTTTCTTTTGTCAATCTTTGAGTTGTGTTTTGACAGCACAAGGGCGTGCATGGGAACATGCTTTGCGTGTGACTTTCAGCAGCTTGGTAACAGATGCCAGACACATTATTTTCCCTAGCAATCCTGTAATCTGACTCACATTTTTTGATCATTGCATGGTAGGTCTCAAGCTAAGCTGAAGACATTACTGTAGCGTTACCCATTAATATTATACACAATACTTCCTTGAAAATAAATTCCGGCACAAGATTACAACAACCATAATGAAATGACCCTTCACAATAGATAATGCTTCACAATGAAATCTGTAACAGAGCTATTTATGGCAATTAATCTGTTCAATAAAATACTGTACTCACCTGTTGCATCGGTAATCTCCGCATCGCTTTTACATATCAAATCCCTCAGTTTGCGCCATTTCCAAAAAGCCAAGTCCATGTTGATTCTTGTTTTATTACAAGCTTTGTTGCCTTCTCTTTTTGCTAGCAGATTCTCCTCTGTTCAGCGTTTTTAACAGGTAACTCCCCAGAGATTGGAGATTTAGCTGCTCCATGTCAACCTTTCTTGCTCGCTGTGACAATGTGACGCCGAGCCCCCCCCCCCCTTAGTTACTGTTGCTACGTCCATCAAAACAAATGTGTAGGCTTTGGAAAGGGAAAAAATACAACTCCTCCAGACAATCTCTCGGGGTACCTAGTGTCCGATTTACAAATGCCATGGGCGCACCGCTTCACCATCTTGCTTGGAGTCTGTGTTTTAAGTGGCCCAGCTCACATAGTAACGGTTGCTATGATGTGTGATTGGACAATGGCCATTTTGTGGGAGAGGCCGGCGAAAGGCTAATTAAGCTAAGCCACACCCACTCCATACACAAAGTAGCTGGAGCAACTTTTCTTTATTTACAGATTTGACGAGACATGCACGGGCGAGTGACGTGCGCATTTTTTTTGTAAAAACCCTTGTGTCAGGTCTAAAATATAAACACTTGCAATATACTTACCATAGTCAATGAAGGTTAGACAAAATGTGTTTTGGAAGCAGTATTGGTGATGTATTGAATAAAATATTGAACATGAACAATTTTGAACAGTACCCTGCCAAAGTTTCTAAAATAATAATTTCAGTGGTTCTATGTACATTTATAGGTCTAAAGTGTAAATGTGTTGTGCTTTGATCTTTATGTTTGAGACAGGCAGTGTGTGCATGAGTTTAAATTGTGTGTTTGTGTGACTCATCTTTGTCTTTGGTGTAGGTGCACACCTTCAGAGGGCCGCACTGGTGTGAATACTGTGCTAACTTTATGTGGGGTCTTATCGCCCAGGGCGTCCGTTGTTCAGGTAACCCTCCACCAATCACAAACTCTCCCACACAAATAAACTGTCCATCAGAATTATGGCACCAGCCAAGGAGCATTATTCATATCAAGTTACAATCAATAGCCGCTCAAGATCCAGACGATGCTGTCCTGATAACAATGCTCAGTTGCCTGTAGAAATGTTTCAATGTTATGTGGAAACCTGAAGCTAAATACTGAAAGTGATACCTGGGACAATAAGGGTTTTAACTAGAATGCTGAAGTATGTGTAGGACTCTGAATTCCTAAATGACACCTTGTCCAAACCAGTTGAGTGCGTTCTGTTGAGTGTTGACTATTTATAGATGTTGTACATAGTGTATACACCATAGAGTATTGTGAGAGAGGCACACCCAGGTGAACCAGGACAGTCTTGAATTAATGCCAATTGAATCAGGCTACACTTGACGTATATAAACACATGCTTAGACGCACATACTCTACACCCTGTACTGTATCAGAAAGTATGACACTTTATTTGTTACTTTGTAGAAGTGAGGTGTATGATGTATGCACTAACTTTACAAGTCAAATTTCAAGTAAAAGTCTTTCAAATTAAAGAATTGTGTATCATAAACTAACAACGAACAACATTTTTATAGCATTTATTAATCTAGGTTAATTTATGTGTATACTATTGTTCATTGATTATTATTGTTTTATATTGTTCCGTCCAACACTAAAGGTGATTTGTTTGTTTGTTTGTTTGTTTGTTTGTTTGTTTGTTTTAAAGGTTCCCTGACATGAAATTTTCATTTTCTGAGTTTTTTTTCACATTAATATTAGTTCCCCTAGCCTGTATTTGGTCCCCTCGTGAATCAGAGTAAACCGAGTTTGGCTAAAACTTTGGCTATTTTTCTCTTCTTTGCAGCTCAGACGCGCTGATCTTGAATCTCCTCGTTATTACGTCATGTCGAGGAAAGGTTACCTCCCCTTTTTCTGCTTTGCCCGCCCCGGAAAATTTGGCTCGCCCGTGAGAAAATGAGCTAGGAAGTACGAACGCGTGTGCACGATTTGAGTTTTTCCAAGATATCACACGTCTATCAAACGAGTGAAGCATGGCAGTTGATCAGTGTTCGGATGTACAAATTGAACACAAGTATTGTTTAGTTCCTTCATCCGAGCCTCTGAAGAAACAACTCGATGAACGTCTGAAAATAAATCGATCGAGCTACCAAGCAACAATTTCTGATGTGTAACCTACTTGTTCAAGTTCAGACAGATAAGTTAATCTTTCTCTCAAAATCATTCAATACTGTTTATGCATTAGTAAGTCAAGCCAGTGACTAAAATATCAACTTCACATCATTTCTTTTAGTAGGATGAAAATAATCTTATTTAAATTCTGAACAAATTATACAGAAAGCGATCAAAGAACAATCTTTCCACACAGCGCGAGTTTATCTGGACAACTCATTATGAAATCAATGACGCACGTTACACTGCACAACGAAGCTCTTACTGTATGTACATCATCGTGTCTGCATTGGTGAAAGTATTAGAGAGTGCAGAAACTGCGTTGCAATGATAAGATCTTCATTCTCGTGATCAACAGACAGTCCTCTGCTTGATCAATGCTCATCACAGAAACATTTTATATAATGGGAATAGATCTAAATACTTTTAAAAACTTCTCACGATTCGTTAATCTCGTAAAAACGTATAATAGCTGTAGTAAAAGTATTCGAGAAAGTTTCGCATGTAATACATAGCTATTTCATATGCAAGCATGTCAGCCAATCACAGCAATGGGCGGTTACACTGAATCCCACAGCAGACACGCCCCTTCAAACAGAGGCTAAAATCAGGCTAGGAAAAATGCCTTTTATTTCTAAATTATGACTATTTTTGATCTAAAAAACATACTAACATTATAAGGACAACCTTTATGAAATTATAAAATAACCCCATGTCAGGGTACCTTTAAAAAAATTTGGGTGAACAACGCCTTTAATGTATTTTTTATAAAATGTATTTAGAAGGTAAGCTAAAAGTAACCTATTAACTATATAATTTAATATTATTAATTAACTTAATTAATGAAATTATTGATATTGTTCATTCATATTTTATGTTAGCTGTGGCATTAATAAAGGGATAATGTTCTGTCAGACATCCATTATCGCTAAATAAGCCGTGACAGGGTGATCTCCCTTAAAGGAGTGTATGGGTTTGAAAATGTAATGTATTATTTAGCAAAAATCCTGACCTTGGCCGTTAGTCTTCTATGCAGCTGCACATTCATGAGACTCTGATTGTGATCACGACTAACAAAAATGTGACATGAAATCCAATCCATGTACCTTCTCTGAGCTATATGCCTTGTGTTTGTCATAACGTACTGTAAGTAATCACTTTCACATCGGTCGACAGTTATTCTGACGGAGTTCTGGTCTGGTCATATTTGACTCAGTGAAGGAAGCACACAGATACTTTATTGGGATTTCTAGGCGTTGTATTTCATGTCATGTTTTTGTTCACCTTGATGCCTCACAACCTGTGTGCTTTTTCTGAGCTTTCTAATAGAGTCTCACAAACATGCATCTCACGAAGCCTTGCACAAAAGAACAACGGCCAAGGTCAGCCTTTTTGTTAAATAATACATTGGATTTCAGTTTGTTTTTCACCAAACCCTATCGTATACTCATGTGGGATATACTGTAAGACACGTGTAGCATTGGTCCATTCTATGATACTTTTTTGAAAAGTTTCATTTTGTGGTCCATAAAAGAAAGAAGGGCATACGGCATTAGAACAACACCAGGGTGCATAAATGATACCTTTATTTTGTTTCGTTTTGTTTCACTTTTTTGTTGTTGTTGCTTTGTCTTCCCCTGTATTTGTTTTTTATTAAAATTGTAACAAAAAATATATATCTATAAAAATAGCAGCCATATTAAATCGATAACCATCTTCGATTCAGGATGTTCTTTGGTGTGCCCTAGATAATCAAATGCACCATAATTTCATGATTACAGGTTTGGTTTAGATCTCGTGTTAACGCTGTTTATTGTTTGACAGCACTTTCCCAAAACACTCTGTATGTAAACCCAATCCAGTCACAAGGCATTAGTGTTGGTTTGTCTCACTGTGTAAATGGTCTCATCCATTTGGGCCATTATTCAAGCCTTTTCTTTTCACACAGGGGCTCTTATTTCACATTGGGCCCTGGGCGAGCCAGTGTCATCAGACACATTGAGAATTAGAGCAGAGTTGAATTTGTCCCCAGGCTCATGAGGAGGACACAGAGGGTTTTTTTTTTTCTTATTTTTTTCTCTGTGGTGTAAAGATGTGAAGGAGGGGTCCAAGCAGGCAGTAAATGGACAGAGAGAGTGATTAATGGGATTGTTGAAGATGAGGAACAGTGGGACAGCATGCAAATGCCTCCCTTTTCCCACATTACACTTCACACACACCACTGTCACTGTGTTAAAGACGAATATCAAAGGTTTATTACACCCAAAAAAATCTGACATGAAATCTGCGTAGTTTTTTCTGATGTTGATCAAAAATATCTATTGAGTTAAATGGCACTCATTTTTGCACTCATTATTTTTAGAATTTTTTTTTTTTTTTTTTTACATTTTTTGAAGAAATTGTGAAACATCTCTAGTATGCTTGGGTGCGGTTCCCAGAGCATTGCTATGGGTTTCCTGGGTGGGTACAAGAAAAGAAAAGAAAAAGAAATGCTCAAGTATTAATGATATTCCCTAAATATTCTATTCATAATATATTCTGATTCAGATCATTCATGTCTGTAGCACAAAAAGTTGAACACTTTAAGGGGTTGTACAAATATCTAACCCTGAATATGAGCAAGCAC